TCTCCCCTGCGGCCCTTGGAGGCGGGCGCAGCCCCGGTCCGTAGCCCCGGTATCAGGAGCCTTCCTGGGCCACCCCCGCTTCCTCGCAGATAGGTGCGTAAGAACGGGGAGCCGGGGCGGCCCGGGGCGATCGGGGGGAGGCCCCGCTTGCTCGGGTGCATGGGACCAGCAGTGACTGTTCGCCGGAGCGTGGGTGAGCAGCAGAAGTTGTTCAGCAAAGGGGCTGCCGGGCAAGGGAGGCAGGGGGCTGGGAGCGAGTTGCATGAGCCGGGTGGGGTGCTGGGCTGGAAAAGCAGCACGTCTTCCTTGCAAGTACGGGTACCCTCCAGCGCTGCAAGGCCTGCGCCTGGGCTGGGCTGCCCTCCCGCCTGGCCTGGCTGTCCCTTTACCCTGGGGGGTTAGCACGCTGCGGAGGAGCTGCTGGTTCTGCACTTGTAGGGCCTTGCCCGAGTATCTGGGAACAGACTGTTCTCCCTGCAGGGACATGGCGCCCTGCGCTGTGCTGGGAGCTTAGTGGGCACAGGGGCTAACTCGGGTGTCCGCCCAGCAGTAAGGCGCTTGCTACATTCCAGCAGTTAACCCTATTCTTCCAGGGCACCGGCAGCTGCCTCGTGGCCCTGGGGAATTGGTTGCTGCTTGACTAAGGGGCTGTCTGGGCAGCTGGTATCTCTCCTGCAGATAAAGACATCTGTTCTTGTCATGACTGCCTGGGGCCCTCCTGTCTTCTCGCCCCAGTGTGCAGGGTGGGGGGTGGTGACGTGTTTGCACTGTCACCAGACCCCTTCGCACAGCTGGCCCTAGGGCCAGATCTGGCGGGTCCCTCTGGAACAGATGTCTCATGCTGTTTTAGCTGGCCCACCCAGGCTAACTCTCCAATAGGAGCCCAAAGGTCATAACCTTGGGGTGACTTGAAAGAACAGGCCCATTCCTAGTCCTTATAGCGGGTTCAGTCGCAACAGCTTCCCCATGATGGTCTGAAAGGCGCTTCCAGGTGCCTTCAAACTGCTGTAGACAGCAAACGTTTAAGCAGAATACGCCGCCCGTTGGGGTACGTCCTCCAGCCTTGGCTGAAGCCAGCAGCACGGATGGGGGCTGTTGTAATGGCCACACTGGGGCAGATCTGAGGTCCCCTTGGCCGCCCTCACATGGTGGAACTACTGGCCTGCCTTCAGGAGGCACAGTGCACAGCAAATGTCTGGGGCTTGGATTCTCGGGTCCTTAGCTGGAGCCGTTCACTGCTGGGACGCTCCAGCAAAGGAGAGAAACCTGCTCCTGTATTTGAATCCTAGAACTGGAAGGGACCAGCTCTTCGAATCCAGCCTCCTGCGCTCCTTCCACACACTGACCCCCTCGTTTGAGCCTCAGGGGCCCACAAAATCTACCAGCCTGGCCCTGCAGGGATCGCGAAGCTGGCATAGACTGCAGCTCTAGAACGCAGGTCTTAGCAGAGAGGGGCGAGTCGGGTCCTGCCAGGGCTGACGCCGAGCCTGGGGAGAGATCTGCGGGTCCCATCTCGAAGAAGGGCTCAGGGCTGCTCTGCTGGAATGGAGGCAACGCGGGATGCAGGGCCTGGTCTATGGCTGTGCTGGCTGGGCCAGACTTTCCAAACTCTTATTTCAGAAGCCAGATCTCTCCCCAGCAGAGTTTCAGCCCAGGCAATGAAAGCCTGGCGGGCCAGAGCGACCGCAGAGTCGCTGGTCATCTTATCGGGAAGCTCTCAGAGACTCATGAGAGGTGGCGGGGGAAGAGATTTCAACGTCCGTGCCAGGCTTTCTGCTTCCCCACCTGCCTCTCTCTGTTACTGGCTGGGCTCCTGCTCCTCCAACGGGCTCCGTGGCTCTGTCCTGGCGCTTGGCCCAGGGTTTGTTCTGCCCTGGGTGCCGGAGGCAGCGTGAGCTCTACAGCCAACAGGTCCCTGGGGCTGGCAGCATGAGGCCCTTGTGCGCAGCTCCCCTGGGACTGTGCAGCTGGAGGGGCTCCACGTAGCAAATCCCAGGGAAGGGCCGGTTGTGTGAGTTGCAGGTGACTGACGCAGCACAAGCCCCAGGGAGCACAGCCTGCTGGGGGCTGCCTGGAGCACATGCAGCCTCCCCACTGCTGTTTCTGCGTGTGTGTTTCAGGCTCTCCTTTCCAGAGTTGCCAGAATGCAGGCCCAGGCTGTGCTCCACAGCGGCTACTTCCACCCTGTGCTGCGCGCTTGGCAGACCTCGGCCACGGTCTTCGATGCCTCGAACCTCATCTACCCCATCTTTGTCACGTGAGTGGGGGCTGGAGCGCTGGGCTGGGTCTGTGCTGCCGGCAGGCAAGGGGACTGTGGATCTTGCAGGCAGTGTGCAGACAGGTGCACGGAGCAGCTCCTATGCCTGGGGCAGCGGCTCCCAGCTGCTGTGCAGCCCAGGGGCATGGGGGCTGGCGACCTGTCAGACAGGTGCTTTGCAGGAGTGGGCAGTGCTCTCCTAGCTGGGTGGGGAGGGAATGCCCTTTCCTGCCTCCCTGCCCTGAATTCCCTTTGCTGCAGGAATGGCCACAGGCGTGTCACGCTGTGGTCACCTCTGCACCTCAAGCAGCTGGCCACCTGGCGCCCCCCACCCCCACCCTCCGGGTCATATCACCCTCCCACATCTGCCGGGCTGCTGAGCTGAGGTGCTATCCTTGTGGGCTTCCCAGCTGGGGCTGCCTCTGATGTGGCCTGCGGGAGGCTGGCAGGCTTGGAGCTGTACTCCTCCCCCGCCCCCGAGCATGTTTGAACGAGGCCATGAGCCCCGTGGAGTCTGGTCTCGTGGACGGTTCTTTGGGCTCTGGACTGCTTCGTTCGGAGCCACCCTGCGTGGCTCATGGGGTAGCCCTGGCCTCATTGCTCTGGGCGGCAGTGTTCTGTGCCTGGGGTGGCAGGAGCCCCTGCAGATGGTCCTGTGTAGCTAGCATGGCAGGCAGGGCCCAGACGGGCCACCCTGGTCTCTGCCCACTGCGCTGAGGCTCAGGGTGGCACGTGGAGGAAGCTTGGTCTCCCCCCTAGAGCAGCAGGACACCTGAGGAGCTCCCCAGGTAACCTGCCTGCATGTGGCTTGTTCTTCTCTCTGCTAGGCTCTGCAGCGCCCAGGTCTCAGAGGCTTTGGCTCACTGCAGAGCCCTGGCCTTGGGCTCCTGAGCGGCAGGGAGGTGGATGCCTGCTCCTGCTGCTCTGTGTCTCCTGGGACCATGGGAGGAGGAGGCTGCCTGGCAGTGGGCCCCCCACGCTGTGTCACGGGGCACTGAGCAGAGGGACAGGGAACGGCCGTGCCCGATGTCTGGCGGGGCTAGCGGGGTGCAAGCGCAGCCGGGTGGCCCGGCCAGGGG